CGAAAGGAAATATCTTAAAAAATTTTTTGAAAAAAACATTTCTTCTTAGAGGGTGCTTATTTACAGTCTAAAACGTATTTTAAGAATTTTTTCATTAAATTCCTCTTTAAACTTTATTAAAGAATACAATTTTGTACAAATAATTGAATGTTATGCTATTATTTATAAAAATAAAATCAGAAATCCATTAAAAGATAAGTTGTCTATCATTTTTTCAATTCACAAATGCACACTTGCATTGCCTACTAAGAAAGTTAGTACTAGTAGTCATCGGGATAAGCAGCTTTGAAAAAATTCCACAAATAACAACTTATTATTTTCTAAAGGTTATTAGAAAACTTCAGTAATAGCAACAGTAATTCTCTAAGCCTTACACCAGCCCAGAGCTCTACAATACTATCTCTGTCACTCAGTCAACATGATCCTTTGGTCTTAAACTGAAATAGACTCAATACATGTACTCATAAATTGATTGGGCAACAAATAGTCAGACAAAATTACACTAGCTCACACTTTTGAATTGTAAAGTCAAACTGATGTTACAAATAATTACAAGCCACTAATTTTATTGATCTATTAAGATCAGAAAGAAAAAGATTTAACTAGAGGTCTTCATATTAAAGGTCAGGCTAATATGAAGTTTTTAAAAGATTTATTGTGCATATTTTATGAGTATGGGGTTGGTTATTGCAAAACTGAGCAGTGTCATTTAGATATTATGATGCACATTTTCTATTAGATCAAAACCTGAGGAAAACTAAACATAGTTATATTTAACAATTGAACTACAATTTATGGGAGATTGTGTTGCCAGTTATTTTTTTCATAAGGTAATATTCTTAAAAATAATGTAGTCAAAAAGACTTCTGATATGGATCTAAAACATTTGGTCATTGAGTCAGTGTCATTAAGTTTCTTAAATATTCTAAACAGTACTAAAAGGCACTACCTTTACAAGGGCTAAGGAATCTTCTCCTTTTGGACTGGTTCTGAAACTTAGATTTTTTTTATTTGTTCATTATATCTTAAAAGTCAACACTCTATCACCTATTTTCCTTAAAATAGTTAACTTTTTTTGCAAAATAACTATTAATATTAAACAGGTGCAAAAGTTGAACATAGCATCTTCAGTATAATAAAAATAAACATTACACTGTCTTATTTTAGACATGTTGATGACATTGATCTCTTCACTGGTGGGCTTGCAGAAAACCCAGTTACTGGAGCTGCAGTTGGACCTACATTTGGTTGTCTGTTAGGCAGACAGTTTCATTATCTGAGAAGGGGTGATAGATTCTGGTATGAAAATGACATTCCCCCATCTTCCTTCACCAAAGGTGAATTATTTTTTTATATTGTTAAGTATATGCTTGTTTGTTAATTTTCAGTATAAATTTTTTCAGAGGAACTTC